TAGATAGTAGGAGATCTCTGAAAGAAAATAAAAGGTTTAGGGAGTTTGATGTTTTCTGACTGGTTTAGGGATTGGGGCTGGAGTGCAATAGGGAAAATTTAAAATGTGTTCAGAGTTATATTGACAGTGTAATGGAATTACAAAATATGTGAAGGGTAACTAACTTTTTTTAGTTCATTTTCATATACATTTATTACGAGGTTATGTTAGATTACCTATGTGAAAATAAAATAGCACTTGGAGATAGAACACTTAAGAAAATGTTCACATCTTCCATGTAGAATGTTGTTTGCCTCTTCGTGGAGATAGAGAGTTCAATGTGGAAGGCATAGAGCTGAACTTGAGTAAATACTCATATCTAGCAAACTGGAGAAGAGACCCTACAGAGTATGTTGGGAGAACACCATGCTAATATTATGTCAGTGACCAAAGGAGAATAAATTTCATTCAGTTTTGAGTTTTTTAAAAGTAATTTGATGACATCTGCACTATTGGAATGTGGATAGTTTCTCTTAAGGTAGTTTAAAGGTGTATGAGTGTCTTTCCTTCAGAATCTAGTGTAATTCTTAATTAATTTTCTCTGATGTTACTAAATTCTAAAGATTCTTTCTACATAAGGAGGGACTTTAAAAGCGTAATTCTTAGCATAAATTCACTTTTAGCTCTTGTATAACTGGTATGAGTCTATCTTATACAATTACTATTTTTATAACTTCTATATGAGTCTATCTTATGAAATTACTATTTTAAAGGATTCAGAGCTTCAAGGTTCAGAGCATTTTCTAGGAGAGATGCTCTGTTCTAATCAAGAGTATATTTAGAGAATGAATAACGAGAAACACTGCTCCTTTTCCCAAAATCAAAATAATTCTTTAAGAAGGTGATTGTGCCTAAGATAGCCCAGATTTTTAACTTTTCTGGTTTGTGTTGAGGTCTTGTAGGAGTATATACCTCTCATATTCAACCTTGTATGTGTTTTTCATGATTGAGGTTTTAGACCTATACTTTTAGTCTGCAAGCTGGTGCTTTTAATATATTGTATTCTGAATTTATTCAGTTAATCCAACAAACCTTCCCGAGCATCACATGGTAAGATTTTAGAAATGGATAGGACTCTAGTGATTATTTAAATTATCTCCAGCATTCCACAGAGATTAGGTGACTTGCTTGTTTCTGACCCCTAAGAGGGGTCTCTTAGGTCTTAGGCTTTTATTCTTCTATCTCCCTTAGTTATTCATCTTTCCATTTCACAGTACTTACTATGTTGAAAGTTGTATATAGTACTCTGCCTCAGAAAAGGTAGTGTTTATCTTCATTAAATGTTAACATTCTGTCATCATCAAAGCACTTATAAATATTTGTTCTAATTTAATTCTTTTCAAGTTTAGTGTATATCACTAATAAAATTTTATTAACCATTTGTTGGTAATATTTCCAGTAATCATTACTCAGTGTGAGAATTTTCTTATTAAGGATTCTTATTTTAACTTGTCTTACCCTCTCATCTGTTACTTAAGCCCATGTCACTGCTGTTGAGTCAGATCCGACTCATAGCAATCCCTCCTTGGGTTTCTGAGGCAGGATCACTATGGAAGTACATTGCGCAGTCTTCCTTCCAAGAAGTGGCTGGTGGGTTTGAACCACCAGCCTTCTGGTTAGCAGTCAGATGCCTTAGGCACTATGCTACCAGAGCTCTTCATCTTTTCTTTCTTAGAAAACAAAATTCTTTATTATAATTGTTGAATATATTTTCTATTTCTGTTCTTTGAACAGCTTCTCCTATTCTTGAAATCTTTGGTAAATACTATCTCATGGATTATCTCAGCTGTAATTGTTATTTAATATGCATGAGTTTTATTATATGGTCTTTAGTTGCATATATTCCAAATACTCTATTTTTACGCAAGTACACAGACTTACTTTGTTTGTTAACCATCCGGGGACGTATTTTTGTAAGTACTGCTATGCCAAAGTTTTCTTATATCGTGCTGTTAAAAAACCCCCAAAAAACTAGCATAATGTGTTTATAAAAATATCTCCCAGGGAAGGGGAGCAGTGGTTGGTAAATCAGTAGAAGGTGCATGTTACTTGAGTGAAAATATGAGTAATGTATGACAAGCATACTTGAATTTTATTAAAGGAAAAATTTATCTAAAATTCACTAATTTTTAAAATTTGTCGTTAATATTCCTGTTTAAAATTTTACTTCATCATGGAGTATGTACTAGCATAAATTATATACACTATGGAATTTTATGTTGACTGTCATGTTAAACAGGATATTTAATTTTTTGATAGGTACCTATACCTTTAGTAGGCATAGAGGATAATTTCTTCCTTTTGGTTTTTGTAAATCAGCTTCAAAGCTTTCTAGTTAAACAATACATATTTGAATGGTACCTTAATTATTAAATTTTTCTTTTAAGAATTATTACTCATAATACTTTGATCTGGTTTAAAAAGATTTAATTTTTTTCTGAGGGAAATGTTCAACATGTTGACATAGTTAATCAGCATAAATCAGAAGAGCAGCTAAGATCTTTTTGGTTATATAGGGGGAAGAAAATATTTCCATACTTTGTATCAACTGTTTTAAAAACCTAGCCTTCATTTTATAGGTATTGGTTTTATTATTTCAGAAGTCATTACTAAAGATTAATGTGATACTTGAATTGATAAGGCTGAAGGCACCTTTTTTAAAATTTGGTTCATGAATAAAGCAGATTCTTGTAATGCTTTCTTTAATGAACAATGACTAATTGAAATAATGCACTTCACCTTTTTTCAAGATGATTGAAATGCACTTTCATTTTCTCAATATAAAAGTCCCTTTGGAATTAAACAAATGCTTTACACTGAAAAATTGGTACCATCCTACCATAGTTTGTGTTATATAGGATACAAAGTGATCTTAAATATGATTGTCTTTGTTTTAGTCTTTGCTTTTTCAGAGCTTTTTAAGTTTCACATCTCCCTATTACTCTTTTAGAGATTTACTAAATGTTAATGAGGGCAAGTTGGTAGATAGCATGGGTTATAGGGTTGATTTATATCCCTCCAAAATGAAAGGAAAGAAAGGATTTATAGAGTGATTGTCTAAACATCACATGAAGGATACCATGCTTATGAACATCTATCACGTTTCCTTTGGCATTTCTGGAGTTGAACTTCTTTCAGATCTCTTCCTCTGTTCTATTGTGTATGTAGAATTATAAACTTAGACTTGTAATAATAGTATGGTCCTAGAAGCATTTATTAAAGCGATTTATAAAGTAGTTGCTTTTCTGTTTTCTGCTGTGAACTGAGATATGTAAGTCTTAACAACAACATGGCCAAGGCATTTTCAGTTCTTTGATCCTGAGTTTTTGATGTAAATGTTTGCTTTAGGTAAAATTTTGTTCATTTGCTTCCTTATTTCCAGCCGTTCATGTTACTTAATGTTTTTCTACTTCCTAAGAGAACAGTGAAACAAGAGACTTGAATAATATTAAGGTTTATGGTTACTAATTTTCTTATGTTATCTGGACAAAAGTCCTGTCCTTTCTCATATTGAGTGGTTTTAATGTAGACTTGGACCCAGTTATCATTCTCTGTTGTCTTATCATCCTGCAACTTTCTTTACCATCAAGAAAAAAATCCTGTTTCCTGTAAAATTTATTTTCTTGCTTTTATGATAAATCTTTATGTATATTAGACCTTAATTAAGTTCCTTAATGTGATTAAATTTTAAGGCAAGCTGTTTCTTTTCCATTATTGTTACCATACATAGCAACATTAAGAAGCACCAGGTGTACATTTATTCTTTAATGAGCCAGAGAAAAAGCCAGTTTTCTCTTTGAGGCAGCCCCATTTGTGTTGTCATATTCACTTCTTAAGTAGAGCCCTTACTTTTAGAGTGATACTTCTCTCTTGGCTAAATGTAAATCTTCCTTGAGAAACCAGCTTTTCTTCTTCTAAATTTTAACTTCATTTCTGTTTTCGGCGAACTGTGTTTTCTTCCCTATGCACCATTTTTAATATTTGAAGAAAGAAAATTACCACTTCTCTCTTCTCAAAGCATTTCTTGGGATATTGCTAATAAACCGGAGTTTGTTCTAGATCAGTGGATACCGGAACAGAGAAGGAGGTATTTCTTACCTGATAATGTGTGTGTGTGTTCCGATTCTGCTAATCCAGAAATCCAATCCCATTTGTTAAAAATCATCCTTAGTAGTTATTTGTTAGGGAGTCAACTCCCTATTTTAATTGTTTTCTGAAATTCAGTCCCTAGATGTGCTTTAGATAGGGTAGAACTTTTACCTCTTTCAGAACACTGGTAAAGAAGTTTTCAACTGGAACATAGTCTGAAGAAGCACTGAGAGCAAAAAAATTCAGAGTGGTGATTGGCCACCTCTGTTTGATTGACAGGTTGCAGGGAGACCCATTCGTTCTGGATTAATGGAACTGGAAAACAGAAAACAATTATCAGGTAAAAAAATTACCTTTTTTTTAAACCTTTGAAATTCATCATTTAAAAGATGAGTCAGACCACCAGGGAATTTATTACCAAAAATTTTTTTAGTGTCTTCTGAGCAGTGATCTCTGGCTACTACTTCCAAGAATTACAAAACAAAGAAACGATACCATTGCTAAACATAGTCAGCCTTTCCAGAAAGGGTAGAGATTTAATGGAGATAGATGAAATGTAAGGCACAATTACATTTTATATCTGGGTTAAAGGCGCGGAGCAGAATTCTATGGGTGGGGGAGAATTGGTGTTCTTATATTTTCCTGAATTGTGTCTGGTCTATGGTTAAGTAGTATTTGTATTTCTAGGCTATTAATCTGGCACTTCATGAGTATTCACAAATTTTAATACTGCGTTTTATTTGTTAAACTTAATTTCACTTCATTATGATGTATATTTACACGTCTTTTATCATGTAATTCTAGTGAAAAGTAATGACCAGTTTTTTACATTTCAATCACAATCTTTTGATTGTTGTTTAAATATATTTCAGATTGAAGGCCAAGGACATGGTGCAGTATTTGACTGCAAATGCTCTCCTGATGGTCAGCATTTTGCATGTACAGATTCTCATGGACATCTTTTAATTTTTGGCTTTGGTTCCAGTAGCAAATATGATAAGGTAGAGTATGATGAATATACATCTTCTCTTTATTTAGTTTAAATTCATCGGTGTTTACACAGAATTTTGGAGGGGGTGGATGAATACCACATTTATTTGCTTTCAGCACAAAGTTTTGAAGAATTTTAAGTAATTGAATTTTGAGTTTTGACACAAGGGTGAAGATAGCACTTGTTCAATCCCACTTTACTGTTGTAGGCAGTAGATAATTATTAGTTCTTGTTTTAAAATCTAGATACTCTGGGGGAAAAAAAAAAAAGAACCTTGTAGCTTCCTGTTGGAGCCATCTAGATTAGAACACTCAAGATATGTAAGCTAAGAATAGGAGATGTCTATAGAGAGTATCTTTGAAATTATGCAGAATGTTTCATTTAATTACATAATATGCATTTACCTGGGGTACAAAGCTGTAGCTTTCATATGATTCTTAAAAATGTATTATGACCTAGTAATGGTAGCTAAGGGAGCTCTGGTAGCATAGTGCTTAAGGCACTTGACTGCTAACCAGAAGACTGGCAGTTCAAACCCACCAGCCACTCCTTGGAAGGAAGATGGGGCTATCTACTTCATAGTGATACTGCCTCGGAAGCCCAAGGAGGGGTCGCTATGAGTCAGGTCCGACTTGACAGCACATAACAACAACAACAGTGGTAGCTAATATTTGTAAATATTAAAGTTCCTGTCTTTAAAAGTGGTTACTTAATAAAGACTTATACTGCTCATTTGTGTTACAGTGGTATAAAATAATAGTTAAAATTGAATCATTCCTAATTTATGGAATTGCAGATTACCAATAAATTTTTGAAGTTACATGTATGTCAGGGATAAATTCATATTCATGATTTTATATTACCTCAAAAAACTTTAGAGAAAATATTTGTTAGCTCTTAGAAGATCGGGTCATGTTAATTTTTTAATACTGACTATTACATAAACCATACTTAAGAATACCTAAGGGTTTTCTTAAGGTCTAAATGTTGATTCCTAAGTTTTATGAATTATTTTCCTTAAGAGATTAGTTCAAAGAACAAATTTATGTATGATTTCCCATTGCAAAATGTTAAATAATTGCCATTTTCAGTAATTACAGATAACATAAAGCATTGTTAAACTCTGAAATGAAAGCAACACTGAATGAGTTATGTCTAGATTTGATTTGTACTATTGAATTTGAAATTAAATAACTTTTACTTTTAATACTGAAAATATATTCTCTTATCTCGGAGAAAATTTAAAGCAGCTACTTTTTGGATCATAAAAACGAAAATATAGAAAATATAAATATAATAGAAAATCGTTAAAAAGAAAATAACAAATTAAGTGTTAAATTATGTTTTGATAAAATATGTTTGCAATTGAACAAACTTTTTCAAAAAATCTAAAAATTTTACTCATTCTCTGAAGTCTTCATTACAGCTGGGAAAAACTAAGTAAATGCCCTTCAGGTCTCCATTGTGGCTTAACATATGCAGCATTAGCTCATAGTTTTATAATCTGTTATGCTAATATTTTTATAAATGTTTTGTGAGTCTATAAATACAAATTTATGTGTATTTGTTAACTCATGACAGCATATACAGGTAGATAATATTTTATATGTGATATTTATGAACAATAAGTTCAAGAAAAGAAAATTCTTTTAAATTGTTCCATTGAAAGTGTATAGATCTTTATCTGCAATAATAAAATTTTATTTCTCTAATCTTTTATGTGTTTTTCCTCCCCAACAGATAGCAGATCAGATGTTTTTTCATAGTGATTACAGGCCCCTTATCCGTGATGCTAACAATTTCGTATTAGATGAACAGACTCAACAAGCACCTCATCTCATGCCTCCCCCTTTTTTGGTTGATGTTGATGGTAACCCTCATCCATCAAGATATCAGAGATTAGTTCCTGGTCGTGAAAATTGCAGGGAGGAGCAACTCATCCCTCAGATGGGAGTAACTTCTTCAGGTTGGTGCTCGTTTTTGTAGATAAGTATATTTTCTTCTTTTTACTGAAATGTTAGAAAATTGCTAATGGAGTAAAACTTTGGTTTTAATTTTTCTTTGCAAATAAAAGCAGATTTATTGCACTGTACTGCCAATTTTTTGTTTTTGAATAACAATTAAGATTTATAGATTTAAAGCAGTAATTTTAGTCTGTATCCCTGTGTAGTCCCTTTCATAATCTCTGGGTGCTAATAATATAGGTCCTTTATTTGGTTATAAGATAAATCAGCAATTGTCATTTATTTATTCATCCATCAACATTTATTGAGAATCTGCTCTGTTCATGACATATTTTAACATGCATTGTCTTAGAATGATTAATAAATAGAGTTAAAAATAAATAGATGGAACATTTCACCAAAGAGGACGTTCAGATGTCCACCAAACATGTGAGAAAATGCATAATGCCATTAGCCATCACAGAAATGCAAATCCATATACTACAGTAGATACTACTTCACTCTCACTAGGATGGAAATTGGAATCCTTATGCATTGGTTGGTGGAAATGCAAAATGGTACAGTTGGAGAAAACAGTGTGGTGGTTTCTCAAAAAACTAGAAATAGAATCATCATATGATCCAACAGTTCTGCTAGGAATAGTACCCAAGGGACTTGAATGCAGTAACTGAACAGAGATACGTACACCAGTGTTCACTGTTTACAGTAGCCAAAAGGTAGAACTCTAACTGCTCATCACCGGATGAATAGATAAGCCAAAGTGGTACATACATAAAGTGGAGTATTTTTCAACCTGAAAGAAAAATGAAGTCTTGATACATGCTACATAAAGTGAATCACAAGAGGATGCGTATTGTAAAACCTCACGTAAGACAAGAACCAAACCAGAAAACCCACTGCCATTGTATCAGTTCCAACTCACACCAGTCCCCATTGGGTTTTCCAAGGCAGTAAATCTTTATAGAAGTAGATTACCCCATCCTTTCTGCATAGCAGCTGCTGGGTTTGAATTGGCTGTTCTAGTTACCTAGTGCCGCTCTGACAGGAATACACCACAAATGGGATGCTTCAACAAACAGGAGTTTATTTTCTTACAGTTTGGATGCTTTAAGTCTGAGTTCCAAGTGCCAGGCTCTAGGTGCTGGGTGAAAGCCCCTCAACCTTGGACTTCAGCTCTACCTCCTGCTCCTGGCCCACTGAAGCTAGAGGCTTTTCTTAACTCAGACAGCTGCTAGCTGCTGAGACTGATAAGCCCAAGGTTGACAAGTAAAAAGACACAGTCCCGATGTTACCAGACCACATGCCAGGCCATTAATTCAAGTCCATTGAAAGTCCCAAGATTGGCAGAGCATGGCAGGCTGGTGAACAATAGCACAGCTACATGCAGAGTTCAATTGTGCCATAAGCTAGAAGTTTATTAGTGGTTACCAGGGGTGGGTGTGAGGCGAAAAGAGGGCTTGGTTATTGCTAATGGAGAACTGAGTTTTGGTTTACAGTGATGGAAACATCACATTGTTGAAGGGTAGGGTTGTGCAGTTATTGATATAATTGCTATCAAGTGCTACACCTGTAAAAACTGAATTGGCAAAAGTTGTGTGAAAGATATGTACAACAACAGTAACAAAAAAAGAGCAGCTGCTGAGGCTGCTTGTATACAACTAAACACTTCATGGTTTAGAGATTGGGATAATGCTTTTATGGGACATACTGGTTAATTGGCCTAGTGCTGTGTTCACTCTTTCTGTTCTAGCTCCTAGTTTGTTAGGTAGTGCCCGGGGTCTTAAAAGCTTGCAAGCAGCCATCCAAAGTACAACATGATTCTCTATTGGTTGTAAGCAACAAAGGGAGAAGACGAGTCTGGAATAGGAGGAAGAAATGGAATATTAGCTTAATTGCCTCCATGTACGGGAGCTCTGGTGGCGTAGTGCCTAAGGCATTTGACTGCTAACCAGAAGGTTGGTGGTTCAAACTCACCAGCCACTCCTCAGAAGGACGATTGGGCAATCTACTTCCACAGTGATACTGCCTCAGAAACCCAAGGGGAGAGGTCAGTATGAGTTGAATTGACTCGATGACAGTGAGTTTGGGTTTTTTTTTTTTTTTTGCTTCCATATACAGCTGCCTCCTTTGCCAGGAGACCAGAAGAACTGGGTGATAAATGGTTGTCATCATTACTGAAAGTTTTAATCAAAGATTCTATAGTAGAAACCTGAACAAAAGGGAGAAAATGCAGAGCAGAGTTTCAAATTATTGTGGACTCCAGACTTTCCTGAGCCACAGAGGCTGGATAAACCCCTGAAACTGTTGTCTTGAAATAATCTTTAAACTTTAAATCTTAAACCGAAATTATCTCCTGAAATCTTGTTAACTCCAAAGCTATAGCTTAACTAGTAAAGAATGTCTGCCTTCAGCATTCTGCTCTTGTTTAAGATCTATATGGAATCAAATTGACAACATTGTGTGCTTTTGAAAACTATGTGGGATCAAATTGACATGAGCAACTCTAAAAAGTAGATAGAAAACTTAGGACTTAGGGGAGAATGAGTTTATGTTAATAGAGAAGGAACAGTTTAGAAAAGGAGGATGAGAAGAGTACCAATTGAGAAATATTATCAGTGTTACTAAATTGTACATATAGAAATTGTTGAATTGCTGTATGTTTTCAATAACAAAATACTCTCACTTCTCATTAACAAAAATAAAATATATTTTGTAAAAATTACAGTCAAGAAAACCCTATGGGTCTGTTTTACTCTGTTACATGGGGTTGCTATGAACAGCAAAGTCCTATGAGAAAATATCGCCCTGCCTACACCTTAAATTTGGGCTCTTAGCCTCCAAAGCTTATGAGAGAAGACATTTCTGTTGTTTTAATGATCCCTAAAAGAGAAAAAAAAAATGGTTAGAAATTTTGATAGATGTTCTTAAAGGTAGGTCTGTGTGAGAGAGAATAGAGCCAGGTAGCATATTTCCATTGAAGATTTTATGAAGATGTGATAACTGTAAAAGGTTTATAAGCAGCAAGGTATGGATGAAAAGTCATTGGTTGGACACTAGTTGTTTTAGTGATATAATGGAGGAAAAAGTCGAATTAGTCATAGAATTAAATGGAATGAGAGGTAAGAAAATGGAGACATGGTCTACAGATATTTTCCCTCCTTCCTTCTGCTTTCTATAAGAAATACAGCTCTAATTTACTAAATCAGAATGATTGAGAGGATCTATAAGTAAGATTAAACCACTTTAAGATTTGGGGAAAAAAAAGGTTTGTGAGACTATTTTAAGTCCTTGATTCTAGCTTAATGGACAAAACCTCTAAATTAGTGAAAAGGACATGTAATGAATATTTTTGATGGGTGACTTTAAATAATGAATTTAGATTTTATAAGCAGCACAGAAAAATCAATCTCATTACATTATAACGAATCCACTTCTTGAGATTGAGTATGAAATACCAACGAAGAGAGACATAATAGATGGGAGGGGCTGCTTTTGGAACTAGAAGGTCCCACTTACAATGGAGGGGAGGAGAATCATTAGAGAAGCAGTCCCTCAGTATTTGGAGTATGTGAAACTAATGTGTTTTTGTACATGATAGACACAGCATCAACTCAAAGACTCTTTAAGTAGGTGGTGGTGGTGGTATGTGCTATTGAGTCGGACCCCACTCATGGCGAGCCTTTCTTGGGTTTCCGAGGCAGTATGTCTGTGGAAATAGATTACCCCATCTTCCTTCCAGAGGAGTGGCTGGTGGGTTTGAACTGCTAGCCTTCTGGTTAGCAGTCAAGTGCCTTAAGCACTACGCTACCAGAGCTCCTTATAAGTAGGTAGTATTGAAGAAGTCTAGGCAAGCATTCAGTATCTTAGAAGTCTCAGAGCTGGTTGTCGGAGCTAGTCATAGGACTGCAATTAAGAAAAAATTTTTAATCTCTTTGAGGAACTGGCGAGAATCAGATCAAAATAAGCTAGCATTATAGACACAAATAATGAAAGGATTTTTCTAAATATGAGTGTTCCTTAACATGACTACTGTTTTGTTTTGTTTGTTTGCTTTTTAAAATCCACTTAACAGTTTATAAAGGGTTTTTATAAGTTATATTTCATTGAATCATTGTATCTGTGAGGTACCGGTCTTAAAAATTAAGACAAAAATGTAACAAACATTGTGTCATATTGTATCTATGAGGTACCAGTCTTAGAACTTAAGACAAAAATGTAACAAACATTGTGTCTTATTCAAGTTAAAGTATGTAGACTGACAGAGACTAACTTCCATCCTATTGTTCTTAACTTTTGACTAAGCTGCCCTTGTAGTACAAAGTAGACTTGGTCTGTGAAAATAAAATAGACACTAGATATTAATAATAGGCCACAAGAGAAGCCATGGCAATAATTGTATCTTTATAGTTAGTTATAAAACTTTTAAGTAATTCTGTTAACTAATTAACAGAAGTGAAACATTTGGTTCATTATTTTAGACTTACTGTGTATAAAAATAGAATAAAAGAAAATACTTTTTTTTAAGTTAGCATTATTATTATGCTTCTCTTTGAAAATCTGAGGCGCTCTGGTGGTGTAGTGCCTAAGGCTGGTAGTTCAAACCCACCACCCACTCCTTGGAAGGAAGACTGGGCAATCTACTTCCATAGACATACCGCCTCAGAAACCCAAGGAGGGGTTGCTATGAGTTGGATACAACTCGATGGAAACGAGTTTGGTCTTTTTTGCGGGGGGCGGGGGGGGGCACCTAAGGCGCTCTCATGGAGTAGTGGATAAGACACTTGGCTGCTAACTAGAAGGTCAGTGGTTCAAACCTGCCAGCTGCTATGCGGGAGAAAGATGAGGCAATCTACTTCTGTAAAGATTTGGTAGCCTCGAAAATCCAGTGGGGGTTGCTGTGAGTCAGAATTGACTCCAGATCTAAGATAAAAATTGTTTGGGGAAGCCTCTAAGCATTTGGTAAAAACAGATGTCAGAACAATATATTGGCACAGATGCAGTTTTCTTATATTTACACGATACAGTACATTTTAATGTACTGTCTCAGTTGTAAACTTGAACTGTACCAGATTACTCATCAATATCAAACATGACATGCTTTCCCAGCAGCATACTGGGAAAGAAACATCTACTGGTATCTTTTTTTCACTTCATACTTGCCAGCTCTATGATCTTGGACAAGTGACTTCATCTTGATTGATTTTCGTTTTCTACTACAAAAGGAAATAATACACACTTAATACATGTAATTTTCCTTCCTTGTGTCTGCTTAGTACTGTTCCTTCATTCCAGAATATCCTTGATGTTTTCATTCCTACTGCACTGAATCCCCAGTACCTAGCATAGTTCCTAACACATAGTAGGCACTCAAGAATTTATCAGATAAATGAGTCAGTACAGATTTTTTGAGAGAGTAGATAATCAGTAATCAGATTTTTCTTTTTAAAAATATGACCTGGATTGAAATCTTACTTTGCTGCTTACTGACTCTATGACTTTGAGCAATTTTGATTTTCTCATTTGTAAAGTACCATTAATATTACTTATCTCATAGGGTTATAAGGATTATATGAGTGTCTGGATTGTGGTGAACAATCAATAAAAGTTAGCTATATCATCATTATTGTTTTTAATACAGACAAGATTTTTCTTTTTCTTTTTTTAATCCCGTCCTTACAGTTCCTATCTTGGGTCTTTTAACCAAACCAATGTGTATTTAATTAATTCTAAACTTATAAGTGATATTAGTGAGTAAAATGATTTGAATAGTGACTTAAAATTCCTTTACATTTTGTGTGTGATATTACATAGGACTAAACCAAGTTTTAAGTCAGCAAGCAAACCAAGAAATGAGCCCGTTGGACAGCATGATTCAAAGACTACAACTGGAGCAAGACCTGAGACGTTCTGGTGAAGCAGGTATCAGTAATACAAGCCGTTTAAATAGAGGTATGCAATGATTCTATTTTATGTGCAATATTAAAAAGTTTCAGACAGTCTTACCTTCTAACAAATTATGTGGTACATCCATAAAATGTTACAGTCTGCCAGAATGATCATGTTTTTGAACAGTATTTAATGATTTATGAAAATCTTCATAAGATTTCTAACTGCAGATGAGTTTTTAATTACGTATGCTTCCAAATTTCCTATAGTGAGCATGTAGAAAACAGGAATAATTTTAAAATAATTTACTTGATCATTTGTAGAGCACATCCTAAGCCATATTCTTGAATATACCATTGCTCTTATTGTTGTGTACTGTTAAACATTAAAATTTTAAAGCAAATGAACCTTAAAGTGTCAAAAATCATGTCCTTAGTTTTGCTTCTTATGTAGGTTTTCCAAAAACTTAGCCTTTTTTTATTTTAACTAATGAATTTTACCTCTTTGGGGTTCATAGTCCATAGTTATTGTTAATATAATCAACTTTATAGTCATGTTTTGTTTTCATTATAGCTTTGCCTTTTGTTTAATTCCTGGTTAGGGAATTTAATTATTTGCCACAAGGTGAAGTTTCATGTGGAAGATAGTATAGATATTTTTTTTTCTTATATACACTAATGGAGAATTATCTCTAACTAGAACATACTATATTAATTTTGTTACTTAGGCTCTGTAAGTTCTACCTCAGAGGTTCATTCACCACCAAATGTAGGACTGAGGCGTAGTGGACAAATTGAAGGTGTACGGCAAATGCACAGCAATGCACCAAGAAGTGAAATAGCCACAGAGAGGGATCTTGTAGCTTGGAGTCGAAGGGTGGTAGTACCTGAGCTATCAACTGGTGTAGCCAGGTAAGGGAAATTGTGAATTTTTATGTACCACAGTTGCTTATGTTTATTTACAATTAGAGTCTTTAGATGGCTTTTTAGCACTGTAATTTCTTTAAAATTTATCTGAAGAGCTATTATTTTAAGACTATTAATGATTCTGGAGAAAAATTTAATTTCCAAATACGATTTTCTTTAGAATGAGTCATGTAATGTTATGAGATGGGATGTGTTATATGGTGAATGAAAGGAAAATCATAAATTTGGATTGACAAATTATGACATTTTATTGAGTGGCATATTTAAATTCTAGTTTGTCCTGTTTATTTAAAACATTTCATAATGGTTTTTTTTTTTTTTTAATAGATTTTACTAATCATTTATACCATATAATTCAGATGCATAAAGAAAATAAACTTTATTTATTGGTAAATGCATAAATATTTTCATATATTAAAATACTGCTTTTTTATTAAGTATAAACGTGTATATATAGATAGATAGAGAGTATGATTTGATATAGTCCTATTCTCAGGGTCTATGATATAAGAGAAGTTTATATATACTGGATATCCCTGGGTCACGAGTGTTCAATTTAAGTATTTCAGACCAGTTCTGTCATCACTAACAAATCAAAACAGACTGGAATTTTTACAGTTCGGTGATTTCTCACAGTAATTGGAATGGGAAAAATTATGGGTCGAAGTACTGGAATGGAAGACTTGGAAAAGGCATAGTGAGCCCTTTCAGGGGTTTGATACATGAGATTGGGTTATTGGCAGAACTATGGAGAGCCGCATGTTCAGAGTGACGTTGTCTGTGGCCATCTTTGAGGTCCTGTTTTAAAGTTATGTAAATTTGTCCTCACTTTGAAACAACTGAAACAACCTCTACTTGCAACACATTCTTCATCACAGTTACCTTCACTTGCTATACATGTCCCTTTTAAATTACTGAAAAGACTTCAACCTTTTCTTGCACTAAATTAAGGCTAATTTACAATCATAAGTACCTGTTCTGACTGATGTACAAATTCTTAAAGACATAGTTAGAAACAGATCTTGTTGGTGTCATGAGGACTGCCTGTAATTAAAATAAATACTCTTTAATCTTAATGTTCATAATAGGTTATGATTTTTGATTTAGATACTTGTAAAATATTTGCATTTGAATTTAGTGTTAAAAAATATACACCTGAAATTCAAGCCAGAACAATAATTTTATCTAAAGACAAATATGTTCGGATAGCCTTAAGTAAAAAATTAAGTCTTATAACATACTTTTAGTTGGGTTACTGTCCATTTTTAATCCTAATATTAAGATTAGAAGGGGGTCCGATAAAACTCATCTTTTCAACACTAGTCTTAAAGGAATCAAAAAATAACACAGAAGAGTAGGACAGATTAAAATTCATAATATTAATTATTGACATGGCTGTGGAGGATGTGGCTTTTTATATACATGAAAGAATGCTTTCTAGTACTGAACCCCAAACACAGGTAGCACTGGGCCACTGAATACCTTATGTAAGGAAAGTGCTTTGCTTTCACAAAATGCAGAACCGTATGTATATGTTACATACAAGGACATAAGACTGGACCATGCTTACATGGATTTTCCTTCTAAAGCACTCGGTCTTCTAAAGCACTTTCCTTCCAATTCATTCCTCCCCTAGAAGGGAATGAGTAAAGAAGTAAAAAGAGGCCAAGAGTGGATTGTCGGTGGTGGAGGTCTCTGTGTATGGAAGGAAACATGAGGTGTGGGTAAGATTTATTTCCCTCTAAATATTCTTCACCTTTTTATATCTTTATCATTGGGCTTTACCATTAAGCCTAAGGTCTAGGAAGGGTACAGTTGGCACTTTAAAGGATAGACCTGCTTCAGCCTTTGTGGGGCTATGTCCCCAATTACAAAGTGTTCCTTATATGGGAATCTTTCTGGTACACCATTCCCCTGGTCGACAAAATTTGCCCCAAGAAGCCTTTTAAATGGATCAGACTAATAAATCAACTAAAATTAAATCTAATCCATATATCCATCAAAGGACTAGCATACAGAATATAAACAAAAAATCAAACCCATTACTGTTGAGTTGATTCTGACTCCTTTCACACTTACGGAACAGTTCAGCTACTCAGTAGGATTTCCAGGGATGTTAAATCTTTACATCAACAGCCAGCCACATCTTTGTCCTATAGAGTGACTGGTGGGTTCAGACCACCAGCCTTTCGGTTAACAGCCAAGCAGTTAACAACTATGCTACAGGGCTCTTAAGAACTCTCAAAACTAATTTTTTTGTTGTTTTTAAATCCAGTGATCACGCAGGCAAAAGACATGAACTAGACATATTTCACCAAAGAGGATACACAGATGGCCGATAAGCACATGAAGAGATGTTCAACATTATTAGCCATTAAGAAAATGCAAACTGAAACCAAAATGAGATTATTACTTAAATACTTAATCACAGTGGCTGAAGTAAAAATAAAAAGTGAAAACACTAAATGCCGGAGAAGATGCAAATAAACTGGATTATTTGTGCATTGCTTGGTGGGAATGTAAAATGACCCATCCACTCTGGAAAACAGTTTGGCACTGTCTTAAAAAATAAACATAAAAGTACCATATGACTTAGCAGTTGTGCTCTCGAGCATTTATTCCTGAGAAATGAAAACTTCTGTTCGCACAATAGCCTGTACACAAATGTTAATAGCTTTATTTAAATCAGAAATAACTCAGATGTCATTCAGTAGGTGAGTGTTTAAATAGACTATGGTATGTTCATACCATGGAATATTATTCTGTAATAATTATAATATGAATAATAATAATTGACCTACACGTGATAAATCTCCATAGAACTAAACACACACACATACAAATGAGTTAAGTAAAACTGGGGGAGTCAGAATACAATCATTGTATTGTATCAATGTCAACACCCTGATTATGATATTATACTATACTTTTGCAAGATGTTACCTTGCAGGAACTGGGTAAAGGATACAAGAGATCTCTCTCTATTTATTTCTTAAAATTGAATGGCTATTTACAATTATTAGAATATTTACTAAAAATACTAAATATGAGGCCACTCTTTTAGCAAGGCTTACTAAATTCACTCATTTATTTTGCATTCATAATTAGGACCTGCCATGTTTGAGATTCTGCAATTAAATGAAATGATAACAACGATATACTCCAGTAATAAAGTACCAACATTATAGAGATATTCCAAGTTTGAATATTAACTCACTTCTCATCAGGAAATTGCCAAGGAATAATTAAAGTTCCAAGATTTAATGTTCTTGCAGTTCAAAAAAGGGACATAAGGTTATAAAGAATTAAATGTAAAAGACCAACTTTTATCCTTGTGAGTTCAAGTTCTGTGAAATTAAAGTTGAAAATTAATGTTCCTCAATTTCTGCCATTGCTCAGTTTCAGTTTGATGCCTAAGTAGAGTTGGAAGTTTTTCAGTAGCGGAACCCAGATCTGCTTCTCACTGGAAAGAATACAGTTTAGTTCATTGCTTCAGGAGTTACATTAGTTCAGCCTCAAGGCTGTTATTCTCTATTTTTCAAAGATTTCGGTGATTTGTATGGCAAAGGGATTACCACAGCACTGTTCCTACACTTACCTAACCAAAAGAAAGGGTGATGGTGGTTCTAAGCTTTTGAAAAGTTACCTTAGGAATAACAGGTTCCTAGAACTTAAAATTTAAAAGACATGGCAGAAATAAGTTTGAGTAGACAGAGAAGATACACTATCTAGACTCTGTTCGATGTCCCAGTTATTAGATATCCTGATCTGAATTACCACATGCTTCCATCTGGAAGAAGAAAACAGTACCATTCCCTCTCTGACACCTCACATTCCTTTGGGAAGGAAATCACTTGCAAAAATTCTAGATTGACATATATGCCTTTTAATTCTCTTTCAGTAGGCAAGAAGAATGGAGAACTGCAAAAGGAGAAGAAGAAGTAAAGATTTATAGGTCAGAAGAGAAAAGAAAACACTTCACTGTTCCAAAAGAAAATAAAATACTCACTGTCTCAAAGGTAAATAATTATTTTGATGTTTAATATATGTTTTGTAAATTGGTGGCATAGTGCCTACAGCATTTGACTACTAACCAGAAGGCTGGCAATTCAAACCCACCAGCCACTCCTCAGACGGAGGATTGGTCAGTCTACTTCCATAGAGACACTGCCTCAGAAAACCAAGGGAGGGAGTGTCGCTATCAGTGGGACAGACTGGACAGCAATGAGTTTGGTTTGGTTTTTTTTGAAATATAATGGCCATTTTGAAGCCCTTTTTTGGTGATAAATTTTTTAATATTGTAAACTGGGTATTAAGACATAAAATTAATATAGTTAACTTTTTATTACCTCTTTTGGATTATCTATTAAGTTAACCATTGTAAATTTTTAATTCTAGATTTGTTGCCTTGTATCATATCTTCCTAAATGCCAATGCTTATATAGCCATTAAATCTAATGAATTATATTAAAAGCCTAAGCAAGATCTTTAAGTAGTTCTGCCATCGGCTGAACATTCTAAAACAGGTTTTTGCTTTTGCTTTATTTCTATGTATTTTTTGCTGCTTTACACGTTTGTTTTTGTATATGATCAAGTCAGCTATGCTGTTATAAACAATAGTTCTTATTTTCTTCATTAAGAAAGGTAAATTGTCCCTGCTGGTTTGTTGTGTTGGTTTCTCTGTCATCCTACTCTGAAAAACTTTTGGATCTAGTGAATTTTAATTGGTCATACCCTAATCAGGGAGAGATACATATTTACTTCCTTGAGCATCAAGCAGTTTAGTTATCCACTCCTTAATTCCCTTTTTAACTGTCTTAGCTTGAAAGTTTCAGAGCCTTAGACTCGGAAATTAAGTAAACCTATTTGGAACTTCTTTTCAGGTACAAGCATCTAAGCAGTGATTAAGCTGAGAAAAGATAACTGACCAACCCAGTTTGATGTGCCTTTCATTTCCTATTTGAGTTCTGTAAACCTACTAAATGAGTCTTTCCTAGAAATGTCTTTTCTATTTCATGACTCTTTAAAGAACTCAAGCAGTTCTTTACTATTTTATTTTTTCCTTTATTAAGGGCATTTCATACACTCTAGGTTGCTCACTAAAACCCACTGTCATTGAGTTGATTCTGATTCATAGTAATCCTATAATAGAGAATCTCTTTCTCAGATAATCTTTCCCCCCCCTTGTAATATCGGAAGAGCAGTCCTTTTTCTTTATTCTTTACTTAGAATCCAAGGATGAGGTTGATAATGATATCAAAATCTTCATTTAAAGTTACAGGATAAAGGATGGATCAAAGAGGAAGGAGCAAAGGTCATATGTGTGTTCCTGAGAAAGGTTTCTAGATGTTAATGTGCAATATTCTGCATATGTCCAGTTGCCCAGAGCTTTGTCATGTGACATCCCCTAAAGGAAATTTCTTTTGTGTGTGGAGGAAGTAAGGAGGAAAGATGTTGCTTGACAATTAGCACTTGGAATTTATCCTAAAGAAATATCAGATTGTGGGTAAAGCTTTTAAAAATTTAACATGTTTGAGGACATAAAATGTTAGTTAACATTGTCATTAAAAGGATATTTATAATACTTTTTAATTACATGGATTGGAGTAGGTAAAAATTTTTATGCTAAATGAAAGAAACTAGTTACAATAAATTCTTAACGGATTACTTAAAATTAATTATATTATAGTTGATTGTTATTTCCTTCTTTATGCCTTTACTTTATTTCCCAAGGTTTATGCAAGATTTTTACAAAATTACAAAATTTTGTACCTATATTAAGTAAATCTTATGTCCTTGTGTGTGAAAATGTCTTTATTTCACTTTCAGGATTGTGAGGATACAATTGTAGGTTCAAAACTATTTTATCTTGACAGTTAAAAAGTAGTGCCCCTTTTACTTAAATCTGAATCAGTCAGTCTGATTTGTTTGAAAATTGTCTTTAGAATTTTCCTTTATTTTTTATGTTATCAGTTTTCACTTCTTGTGTATTTCTGTTATTTCTTCTGGTGTAAGGTTTTTCAGTTAGAAAGCTTTTCAAATTTGTTTTTGTTTTTTAAGTTTTGGGTGTTAGCCTATATTTTACATTCTCGCTTACTGATACACATTTCACATGCATGTGGTAGTCTGCTGTCAATTCTTTTTTCTACATTTAATGGTTATTTTTTACTTTATGCATTAGTAATTAATTCTTTTCATAATTATCTGGTTTTTCTTCTGTAAGACAAAGCCTTACTCTTATGTAATGGATATGATTCCTTTTAATCTCTTATATTGCTTTATTTTTTTTTTTTTTCCTGGTATAAATTTTTATATTTGTTGAGTTTGTCATCTCTTTTTCAGGGTGTAAGACTTTGTCAGGTTTTTGTTTCGTTTTGTTTGGTTGATGATTGTTAGTTGTGTTCTTATCTGCTGCAGGAGACATTTTTCTTTAGCAAAAGAGAGCCAGCCAGCCACTTGGTGTCCTACCCTTATAGTGGCAGAGTAGTAAAATAATCATATTTTGGTTTTTAATTTGCTTTTGCCTTTATATATGCTTGACAGCCTGTGATCTTCTTTCTTATATAATATCTTTAGGTTTGATATTGTAGCAGGACTGTTCCATGTTTGGCTTAGTCTATTAACATGAATCCTTAGATCTGGATCACTTAGTTAGAATAAAAGATTTTTTTAATAACTTAGCAGTCAGCAAGTGATTAGTATATCATCACAAGTCTATGATTTAGCTTGATGTCTTGGGAGCTCTGATACTGTAGTACCTAAGGCATTTGACTGCTAACCAGAAGGCTAGCGGTTCAAACCCACCGGCATTCCTCAGAAAGAAGATTGGGCAATCTACTTCCCTAGCGATACCGCCTTGGAAAGCCAGGCGGGTTTTGCTATGGGTTGGAGCCGACTTGATGGCAGTGAGTTGGGGTTTTTTTATTTAATTTGATGTTAAAATATTAGAGCTAGTTCTATAATCTCATCCATCTAAGGTGATAACTTAAGTATGAATAAAGAATAATAAATGATATAACTGTTAAACTGAAACTAAAAAGCCTGCTTGTAAAGTATGCTACAAATAAATTCAATTTACTTTTTTCCAGAATCATGCTCATGAGCATTTCCTAGATCTTGGAGAATCTAAAAAGCAACAGGCAAATCAACACAATTATCGTACCAGATCTGCATTAGAAGAGCCTCCTAGACCCTCAGAAGATATAGAAAATGGCACTAGCTCTTCAGATGTAAGATCTCAGCTTCATGGGCACATTGCTCTATTTTTGTTTCCAGTTTTTGCATTTTTTTTATATATATGACTTTTGTTTACATTCACTGATCGATTTATGGGTATAGCTTAAATATAACATTTTCAAGTTTTAATTATTCCCATTTTATATATGAGGGATCTGAAGTTCAAAGATGTTAGATTACACATTCACCTGTTGAATAGTATAGTAGGTATTAAGCCCAGATTCCTTTTACACTAAAGCACCATGGACTTTAGCCTAGAATTAACAATTATTAGACATTGACAAATGTCATTAGTTTTTAATCCCTATATCAGTTGATAGGTTTCTTGATGTAGTTTTTATATGCTCCCTCATGAATAATTATTTCTACAAATTTTCCTACCAAATTACATGTTCATTTTGCAAATGGGAGGAGCTCTGGTAGTATAGTGCTAAGGCATTTGACTGCTAACCAGAAGGTTGATAGTTCAAACCCACCAGCCACTCTCTGGAAGGAAGAGTAGCCAATCTACTTCCATTAAAGATTTACCACCTCGGAAACCCACATGCCACATGGGTTGCTGTGAGTTGGAATCGACTTGATGGCAGTAAATTTGGTTTTGATTTGGGTAAATGGAGACGATTTGTAATCACAAATAAATCTTTAACATTTAAAAAAAATCATCTCTCTCTTTCCCCCTCCCAAGTTAGGTCACAGACCTGAGTGGTCTTAGATACTAACTACCACACACTTTTGAAGCCTTGTACTTTTCATTATTAGGCATATGTGGGAATTTGTTCAGTATATTCTCCATAAGGCAAGACACAATGGTAAGTCAATCTGAGAGCATTCTAACCATAATTTAAAAGTTAGTCTCTTCATGCCTTTGGATTCTGTTATGACCAGTTCTAAAATTATGTGTTCATTCTGGCAAACTGATAAAATATACTAATTATATAAACCTGACACACAAAAATTTGGATATACCCACAAAACCTAAAATACACATGAGCTAATTATTTGCCTTATTTTTTATGTTTCTTCCCTTTGAAAGATTCGTAATATTTTTAAAAATTAAATTACTATGAAACATTTTAAATATTTCATTTACTATAAATGAAAATACATATACTTGTAATATGTATTTCCAGGCATATATCTGTTAACAGAAAGAAAAAATTACTATATCCTTTGTCTTCAGAACTAATTTGTTGTTTCAACATTCTTTTGGAGCTGCTGAATAAATTTCTACAAGTGTACATTGAGAATAGAAATATCACTTTCGGCATAATGCATTAATTATTGGAAAGACTCCTAGGAGTTTAGATTTTGTTGGTTTTTTTTTTTTTTTTTTT